ATAACCAAACATAATTACAAAATTTCAACTAGTTTCATAAAGAATAACGAAAGATTTAATTGACTGAATTCATCAAAATGGATTTCTATTCGGACAACCCTTTCTGAGCGCTGATTGGCTAAAATACGAACACGAGATCACCTGGATTAATTGCATGGTGAAGTACACTAGTACAATATTAAAATACGGGACACACTTTACCTCCACGCCAAGGGCAACAATCACTAATTGGAAGTGCAGAACGCAGATAGAGCGCAAAAGAAAAAGCGTCTCGAATATTCGTTCAAGTTTCTCATTTCTACGTTTCTGAAAGGTATTTCCTGGAATGTTATAAACAGAAAAAACTAGAAACATATTGGGAAAACCTAGATAGCTAAAATGCTATTTCATGGTTTATAACAACTCCAACAACTCAAAATGGAAGTGTTTTGCCTTTTCTATGAAAATGCAAGCGGAAATAATTATAGTCTACATTGTCTACATGTGCAAGAAGTAGTATTATACAAGAAAATAAACCAAAGGTGACTGTCCATAAATTTATTGTGTAAAACGTTCTTTTTAATAACTGAACCATACAAAGATATATTTTTCGTAGGTTCATATGATCCACATTTTTGTCAATAACTTTTTTTGCGTAGCATGTATAATTTTTGCGTTGACTATATTTAAGGGTAATGATTTACTCTACAATTAAATCGTGTGAAAATCTTAACTATTCGATAGTTTTCTTAACTTTTGTGCTTAAGTTCGGTATTCGACAATTTTTCAAGAAATGTTCACACGCCTCCTGGTCTTGCACGGTAATTTTTAATTTAAATTCTGTTTCTTTTTAGATTTTAAATGTTAGAAAACTTTTTATTAATATCTAAACTACCTGTCTAGTGTATTGTTTGTTTGTTTCAATTACCTTAAATAATTAAATAGCCATGTTTTATATACAATTTGGCATATAAATTCCTCGCCATTTTTTTTGTGCCCAGGCATGCGCAGACGCTTTTCCGCGGTTACACGGAGATGTGTTTCTGCGCGTGCGTATATATGAAAAGTGTTCATCTCACAATCCAATCTCGTTCCCAGAGTATGCCTGTTCGCGGGTTATGTAGTGGCATAACCCGCGAACAGGCATACTCTGGGAACGAGATTGCTCACAGTCATAAGCCAATCAAACAGCATTCAAAAGAGACCAACACACCACGCGTGATTCCCTCGGCTACCATGGATGTATAAACGCCAACCTCGTACCCAGGCTATTACCTTCGCTCACCCCCTGCTGAGGGGGTGCAGACAAGGTGCAGACTAGTCCCAAGAAGTCCCAAGTCCTCTGTGCACGCTTTTGATTTCGAGGGGGTGAGCGAAGGTAATAGCCTGGGTACGAGGTTGACTAAACGCATGCTTTGAGGGAAATTAGGGATTAAATGACCCCTGCAAACTTCGGGAGGTTTAGTAAAAGTCCCTCGGACTACGCCCTCGGGACTTTTACTAAACCTCCCTCGGTTTGCGGGGTCATTTAATCACTAATTTCCCTCAAAGCATGCGTAACTAGGTTTGTTTTTATCAACTGCTGAGAGTAAGTCAAGATTACTGAGATTTGCACGCAGAAGTCAAAAACAAAACGCTCATAAACTATAAAAAGAGAAGATGACTATAACTACAAAACTATTTTCTAGAACAAAAACATTTTAGAGATAGGCCATTTCCTTGTGTCGCACCGACTATGTCTGCCGTCTATATAGGTTCAACTATGTCTATAATCTCACGTTTCGCACAGCTTCCTCCGTTAGTTGAAAAGCACTTTTAATATTATTTTTCATTAATACAGTGCCTCATAGAGACTCGGAAAGGATCATACACTGATTTATACTATCTTGTATATCCCCGGGCACTCTCACGTGTCTCCGGGAGTTTAAGATGTCGACAACGAACAACGGGTACGCAGTACTGTTGAAAGCTTATTTTGGCATTGCTTTAACTGAGGCAGACAAAATTTACATATTCCCAGAGCATATTTTTCACCGTAGCGACCTTGGGTACAACGTAAAAATGACATTCTTGTGTTGTAAAACAGAATCAAGAACATAGCACCGAAACTGACTACGCAACGTTGCAGGTTGGAGAGTATTTTTATAAAGAAATGATGAAAATTAAAAGATAAACAAAACCATGCACATAAAACATATTTGGGATAAATTTGTTATGATAAGCATTTAGTATTTACATACATATACCAAAAACTATTTCAAACGTAGTCGGTAGTTCGTCGTCAAGATCTTAAGGCTCCCTAATGTTTTATCTGCGACCGTTCACCCTGGTTCATCCTTAGTTGGAAGCGACGGTATTGAATCAATGTCTTGAATGAGTCCGCCTTTTACAAATCGCAGTCCGCGATTTGTAAAACACGGACTGAGTCCGCGTTTTACAAATCAGTCCGTCTTTTACAACATGCCAAAAATGTTATATAGCGCTTCTAAATATTTGGAAAATTTAAACTAGGATCAAAGTTGTCTGTCAGTGAAAATCGAAAAATCGCGTCGCGTTGTCGAATCGCGTTCAGTGTCTGGATCTTAATAAAGTAGGACCCTTTCCTCAGTTCTAGCGCTTCTCTCTCGCGTCGCCTATCAAAACATGTTGGCTTGTTTACGTCTTATATCGAAGCTTCTTCGACTTGTTAAAAAGGCCAGAAAGCTCTGCAGAGGAAACATACCTCTCGAAGTTCTTGAAGTTGAAGTGTTGAAATTGCCGACTTTTACAACTTGAGATATAAAATAAACAACAGCTGAAACATTTACAAAACACATCGCCACGTCCCCATGCCGGACCTCTCCGGCATCTCTGAATTTTATTTATAAATTATTTTAACTCCAAGCCGTTTATGTACTTTTAGTCTAGTGGGGGAAAAATGCAGGTAAAAATTATTTCAAATTCAACATATTCGTACATTATTATTAATATAAGTACCTGTACACATTTTCCCATTTTATATACAAAGACACATTTTCCTTTTACAAGGACACAAAGTGTGTAAAAAACCCCGCTATTTTAATGCCCGATGCCCTTCCTACTATAAAATAAACACTTACTGTACTAGCTGAAAGTTGCAGTTATATTTGTTGTACTTAGAGT